TTTTTTGACGATATCTGCGTTGCGCGTGTCTGCATTCGGGTTCGTGGCCCCTATCAGGTTTTTAGGGTTTAGGGTTTAGGGTTCAGGGTTTAGGTCTTAGGGTTGAAACCATGGGCCCCTAGTAGGAGCCCTCAACCCTGGGATCCTTATACACCTACTATACACCCCATAATGTACCCTTAAGGGTCCCTAGAAAGGCCTAAGGGTCCATATTAGGGGCCCGTACTTCTAACCCCAGACTGAAGGGACTTCGTAAAGGACTCTCCTTATAGCTATATACTTATAGACCCAAAACCCGAAACCTTAGAAACTGTAGCATGCGGACTTGGGGTCTGAAAGGCTTTGGGCTTTGGGCTTTTCGGAGCTTGGGTTTTCAGCCTTGAAGAAAAATAGGGGTTTTGGTTTGGGGGGTATGGAAGTGCAGTCATGAGAGCTGAACCTCCGTATGCTCGGACTTTCAAAAAACGGGGCTTCAGGATCCCGGGTTCTGGGTTTTGGGGTTGTGGCGCACTTGGGGACTCCAGGAATCAGGGGGTTTCAACAGGAATTTGGAAGGAATTAGGCTTAAGGTTTAGGGTTAAGGGTTGGTTGAAACTGGCCAGACTCGAGCCTAGTGGGAAAGGGGGTTTAGGGTTTAAAGGCAGTCTCGTAGGGCTTTAGAGTTGTATGCAACCGAAGCGACTCTAAGAAGGATGGGGGTTTCGTAGGGCGGTTTTTGGGGTTGGGCTTGGCAGGGTGTAGGCTTAGGGCGAGGGGAGGGTTCAGGGCTGATAAGGTTTGAAGGCGGGTCTCATCACAGGGCTTGTCACAAGGCTGTATGCAGTTCCTTTGAGATTCTTGCGGGGTTTTAGAAGGCTGTCTTGCGGGGCTGTAGGGCTTTCTTTAGGTACTTACTACTTTTAGAGAGTCACTGAGTTCCATCTGTTCCATAGGTAGCGGTACTTCTCGAGAGACGCAGTCGTGGGCTGCTTTATTTGGCAAACTGATCGAAAGGTTCCCTTTTTCAATTGTATATATATATATATATATGTACACACACTCGTACTACTATTAAAACCATGTACATAATATGAACTGACTTACTGCAGTACGAGAGGTTTTCGGTTTCCGGATTTAAGACCTAAGGGGCGACTTATGTAGGAGTTTTCCCTAAACCCTAAACCCTAAAGTTTACCCTAAACCCTGAACCCTATTCCCTAAACCCTAAAGTTTACCCTAAACCCTAAACCCTAAAGGGATACACCCTAAAGTTGCGCGAAAGATCGCTCATCTTTCGAGCTTTGGGGGTTCACGGCGTCAGGGCAGCCTCCTGAGTCGCCGTACGTCGTTCCATCACGGGCTGGCGTGGGTTTAGGGTTTAGGGTTTAGGGTTTAGGAATGCTGTGTTCCTTGATCTTGTAGCTGATCTATACAATGAAGCCGAAATAAATACCAATATTGTTCCTTGGGGCTCCGTACCATGATCATAACAAAAAGGAACCCCAAAACCCTATTCCAATTATTAAGGCCCCTGCATTATGTCCGCGCTTGATTTGTTTCTGAGCTTTCGGCCCTCGTTTTAAAACTGCATAACAGGAGGAAGGAGACCCTCAATGCCTCAATATAACAGGTTTGCGACTTTGCACAGCCTTAGGAGAATTGTGCGTTGCTTGTGGCTCTGTGGTTAAAGTGCTCACACGTGCTCATTTTAGGCCGCAGGCTTGCGCTAAGAGTGAGCTTGACAAACTCGGAAACCACGGAACTGGTCGTGAAGAGGCACTGAAGCAGGTGAGAGGCTCACCACTTTTTCGGAGCCAGGTGCACTCGTCCAAACATTTCCTCAGTCGCCCAAGCAGAGGTTCTGCCAGCTCCTCATCGCAGCTGCGGGATCTGGAGTCTTCGCCGCCGAAGTCCCTCACAGATGTACGGAAGGCGTGCCTCCGGAGTATGGTTTGCGGTTCACGAGTGTGTGTTCCGGATCTTCAGCATGAGTGTAGGAACCGAGCGAACTGCCAGGCAGCAAGCATTGAAGAGAAGACCTGGCGATGCAAATGACCCTTTTCCCTATGTCCCGCAAACCGTATTGACCCAGTTTGCAGAAGGAGGTTTGAATCACCAGGTTTGGTCGACTCAAAATGCTGCTGCATCCAGAAGTAGCAGTGTGCAGGGCCACGTTTGCATTCCGAGTTGAACCTTTGCATGGCTTCAGTGATGGTGAATTGTGGCTGGGAGAGTTGACTCAAGACGGCCCCTATTTCAGTAAAGCCCTTATACATAATACCCTTATGGCAACCCCTTATAGGAGCCCTTTAATGGACCCCTTTCTTAAAGGAGCCCCATTCCAATCATTAAGGTCCCTCTATATATATATATATACATATATATATATATATATATATCATGCTTCCCAAGTGGAAGATCCCGGCGCCTGTTCCCATCGAAAACCAGTCCCTGACCCTGCGTGCAGCTGCCCCCAAAAATGACAACAACAACAACAACAACAACACAATATAAAAGTAGCAATAAGAAGCAGTTAGGTATGTCGGTAGGCAGACTTCTCTCTTCAGCTGAAGGCCGCCAGCTTGCTAGAGATCTCAGGCCTAAACCTTACATCCCTGATGCTGAGCTTCATGGGTCTTACCTTGAACCCTAACCCACCCCTCAACTCCCAAACCCGAAGCCGGAGAGTCCAAAAGGGCCATCAAAAACACTAGGCCCCTCAACGCTGCCGAGCCTGAAACGGATGTGTTAAGTTCAGGGAAATTTGGGTCTGCACAGTTCGGTGTCCTTCGGGAGGATCTCGGGTGCCTCGGCTAAGGGCTTAGGGCTCAGGGGCTTTGGCTTTAGGGCTCAGGGGATTTAGGTTCAGGGCGCAGGGTTCAGGGACTTAGGGCTTCGGGATACGGGTTGAGGGCGTAGGTTAGGGGTTTATGGTTTATGGCTTCCTTCTGAGTAATAGGATTTTTTCATGTCTCCTAGTAGCATTTCACTTACCCCAGCGCCTGTGCCAATCACCCCCGAGATGAGGGTTTTGTGTTTACCTAAGGTGCGGTTGATGATATGAATCCTGCATTACCCATAACAAGGAATATGCTATAATTCCCATAGTTTAGGGTCCTTCTATATCGACTCCGGGTTTCGGCTTTCAGTTCACTTTATTCAAACCTGTGTGGGAGTTCGAGCTTGAAGGTTCAGAGTTTAGAGGGTTTAGCGTTTTTGCCTTTACGGCCGCAACAAATCCACCATTTACCGACAAAGACAACAAGCATCAAGAGTTCCTTCTTTCAACAGTTCTGTTAAACACCAACCTCATTTAATCAACTTCACCACAAGCAACAGCACTGGCTGCCGGCAGGAAGAAAGATTTCTGCCAATTGCTCGGCTACCAGGTCGGGACCATTTAGGAACCCCAAACCCTAAACCCCAAACCCTGCGAGTGCTGAAACCCTAAACCTAGGGTCTTTTGTGACACATTGCGTTTGCTTACTTCATAGGTGCAAGGCTGTGGCGATGGAGCTTAGGTCATTTAGGTTTGAGTGTGATTTAGGGCTGCGGGGCTTAAAGTTTAGTGTTTAGGGTGCTTAGGATTCAGGTTTGCACAAGGCTTTGCGGTTGCAATTTGGGCAGTTTGGCCCAATACCTCGTGATTCTCAATCGTTGACAAACCCTAGAACCCTGAAGCAAAGACTTGGGCTTGAATGGCTCGTTGTTTTTTCTGTCTCCGATCCCGAATCGTGCGAAACCTTGAACCCTCCGCCATACAACCGTTGTGATCGAACATGTGTACCGGCCCTCCCCAAGCTTTCTGAGACCCAAAACAGTCTTGAGCTCGCCGACTACAAGGCGAAGAAATCTTCTCCAGTGGTGAGTGGTCAGGCAGCCAAAAGGGCCGCAGATGCTCTCAGACCTCCGCCACATCGCTTGTTGGCGAAAGTGCGAGGGTTTGGGGAGATGCTGTTGGGCTTTGGGTGTGTACGATGGAGGTTTGGATGTAGAGTTAGTTAGCATTGACCTTGCCCATTTTCAACCGTCAGCCCCCCCCCTATGGTTCAAACCCCATTCCATAACTACACACCAATTCAACCCTCCAATTTTGCCCTAAAATCGCCCTCATACACCCTTATCCAAAAAAACCCTTCTCATCTCCTCACCTCTCCACCCTCCAACCCCTACGCCCCTTCCAAAAAACCACCTTAAGACCCCAACCTTAATACAAACTCCTCCATACACCCCTATCCAAAAAACACCCTCTCAACTCCACCCCTCCAACGCCTCAACCCCCACCCACCTTCAAAATCTCACCTCAACCCCTCCACCTCAAGAACAACCTTAACCCCCATTGCCTGTATCCACCTTCAAAAAACCTCACCCTCAAACTCCAACTCCCAAAACCTCAACCTTCCCACCCCAAACTCCAACCCCTGAAACTACAAGGCCATCCTTACAGAATGAGTAGGCGAGCCTGCATGTTTTTGCAGACAGCACAGCACAAGTTGGAAGATGATTTTGCAGGGTTGTGGCCACAGGGTAGTGGCCAGGACTTGTTTGTTGAGGCTGGCCCTTTTGGCTTGTAGAGTGGGGTTTTGCCACGCTCTTCGTTCCCGCGCCATGGACTACACGCGAGTTGCGCCGCGATTTCGGCGGCTGGCTTGTGCGTTCCAAGTAGCCTTGGTATTAGCTCTCATTCTCTACGCAGCTTTCCAAGTCGGCAGCATTGTGACCTATTCAGAGAATCCACCAGTCAATACCGAGATGCTGCCGTGGAATGGTGCGGGACGCTGGGCGATGTGTAGCTGGGGGACAGAACACTTCGGACTCACGTTGAGCCATGTCGGCATGTCCATTGCCAACCATACCGGAATTTCCATGCCTGACGGTAGCCACCGGGACAATTTTTCTTTGATGACCAGCTGGACTTTGTCTGCAACACGTTTAGAGCTTCATGGAGAGATGCGAAATTGTTCGATCGTGGACTTGGACAACTGGGAATGGGAACGCACCCCTACGTTTTTTTTTTATGCGTTAGGCAATACTACCAGTTATATATTTGGAGTGCAGATGAATGGCTACCAGTTTGGCATTACAGCGCCGCCTCTTACACCAGATTCGATTTGGGCAAGACAAGGCATGGATGGAATGAGGGCTTCAGAAAGCGTATGCAAGATATATATACAGTTAGCTACCGTATTCATTTCAGCTCGTGGATTGTGGATGAATTTTCGGCATGCGGATGGACAAATTTGACGTCAGATCCGCCAGGCCGAATCGCCGTTGTGGAAGTAAGGATTATGAATCCGTTAATCGCGCAGACCACAGTCCAAGGGGGCTCTGCCACAGCTGTGGACGCTATTTGCCAACATCGGAGGTTACGTGACCCTGCTGAGCCTGCTCTTCACCACGGTCTTCGTGAAAGCGAATCCAAACAGCGAGATTTCCCGGGTTTATGATGCGCGTACTTTCATTGGTGAGCGTATCGGATTTGCACTTCCAAATGGTCAGCCTGATCAGCTCAGAGATGCGGAGTGAGCAGCAACTTATTGAGACACGGGCTTCTTACTAAATAACAGTAGTTTCACTTTTCTTACGGCTTTTGCTTGTATCTGCTTTGACGTTCCACGTCAAGGCTGAATTTGGCGACTTGTGCGAGTTGAAAAGAGTTGTCGTTTGGGATTTTAGGATTACCAGGCCTCGGGTACTAGGAGCTTGCGTATATAGAGCGAAATGTCTTCTGGGTACCAAGGGGCTAGCAGAGCCAACACTCTCGCCACGCGAATCCTTGAGAGCAGATTATGATGGGTCCATGTGTGTGTGTGTGTCTATGTGTCCACTTTTCTTCCGCGTGCTTGTGTTTCTGTATGCATGTCGATGTCACAGGCAGAACAAGATTAGACATAGCTAATATAATAACACGCTTATCCACCCTCTACCCACATAAGATTAATAACAATTATTTGCATCTAGAATTTTATAAATTGCAACATCTACTTCTTGATAGAGTATATTTTCGGCAATTGCTTCAAACTTTTAATAACTCAAACCACAAATAAGGTCTATTTAAACTCTCAAGAAAATAATAATTTCAATTTTTTCTACTATATATTTATTGCTACTCCAATTTCCCACTCTCTTTTTTTTATTTGGTTTCCTTTTCTTAAATATTTTAAATTCGTCTCTTCTACTTATCTCTGGATACACTCTATTCTTTTTAGCATTCATGCCTAACTTAACTTTAATATTCATTTCGTTCTCTTTCTTCTTTGTTTCTTTCGGAGTTAAACCTGTTGCCGAGTGCCCCATCTGGTTATTATAAGTAAGCAATATTTCGAATATATAATTAGTCCATTATATGTTTTATTTCCCCTTCTTCTCCTTAACTTTAATCCTTTATAAAGTATATCTTTAAAAGTCCTAATCACTCTTTCGGTAAAATTTGGATGCCCTCGCGTTCTATAATGGTTAATGTTTTCATCTTTCAAATATTATTATATTGCTGCTATGGATAATGCTCCTTCATCGTCAGTATAAATAATTTTTGGTTTCTTCTCCATTTTATTTAAGCATTCAATCATACCACTCGTTACATCTCCTTCGCTCTTGCTCTTAATCGCCACCACCGACATAAACTTATCAAAGATGTCAATCATTAATACTCCTACCTCAAATTTTTGCTCTTCCAAATCATTAATAAAGAATAAATCCATCTGATACTCGTATGCGGAATACGGTGCTACGAAACTATTCTGACCTACCGGTTTCCTTTTCTATTCATCATTATTTTAAAAAATTCGTTAATATCTTCAATTGTTATAGTTTTGTCTTTCTCCCTTGCACTCTTAAGGGTGCGCTGTCTAGACCCAAACCCCGCCCTATCGAAATAAATATCTCTTATAATATCTTGTTTAGAAGTCATATAATAAA